TCCTTTGATCTTATTTATTTGAGTAAAAGAATGGAAAAATAATCTGTCTCTATATGCCAATTTGGTAAAAATTGCAGATAATGATTTTGGTGGTGGAATTGTTGGGAGATCTCTAATTTTGATATACAATTTGACTAAAGCTTTGAAATTTCTAGGTGTATTAGTAATTAAATCAACTGTCTCGGATATTATTTGATTATGATTAGGAGGGTTTGAGGTTCTAATGTTATGTTCATTAATAAAATTTTTTGCTTCGTCTATCCATAACTGATGATTGGGATTGTGTTTCTGCTGATAAATTTCTATACTCAAGTTAATACTGGGTAATAGAAGAGATTGATCTTGATTGATGCATTTGAACTATTTTTAAAATTATTGCCTACTATAGAGTCAGTATGAGAATGATTAGATTCAGGGTATATTGAATGATATCAGGAGTGTTGCAGGCCTCCTTATTTGATTGGTCTGTATACATGGAATAATTTTCTTGCATGACAGAAGTATTAGAAGGGGGTATAGAAGTTTTTCTTTTTTTTGAGAGAGAAAGTGTTAGAGGATTTATTGGTGGAGATAAAAATTTGATTCAAGGACAATGGAGTTTATAGTTATAGTTTCTTTGACAACTTTTTTAACAGCAATTTCTCTATCATTTTTGGATAAATTGAAGTTTGTTTGATGTTCCATAAATTGGTTTAAAATAGGAGTTGCAAAGTTTGTAAGAATTTCTGCAGTCACTTTTAAGCCAGGAGTAGAAAATTTAGAATGCCATTTTGCTTCAAAGAGAACTTGGATAATTGCTAGTGTTTGATTTGAGTTGTTATTATCAAGTTTGTATATAGGAATTAACTATGAAGATGGATAGTGTTTTAAGGAAGAAACTTGAGTAGAGGCTGCTGGTTTAGTCATATAAACTAGGAGGTTTTATTTTACTTGTAAATAATAGAGACTTTTGATGTTTTGTTATCAATGAAGACTATATCAAGGATAGAGTACTTTTTTATAATGTCAAGAGTCCTGGAGGTACTCCCTCCAGGTTTATTTTGTTTTAATTTTGGTGGAATTTTTGCTAGCTTTTGTTTTCAAAATTTATAGTCAGTAATTTATAGGAAAGAGGTTTTTTTTTTAATTTGTTTTATTTAGATATACATATTTAATTATTTGTATAGATTTTAATTAAGCTTTTTATTGGTATTATCAATAGGATTGTAACTAATGCTGCTAGTTTTACTCTTATGGATGATAACCAATTTTGTATACCTGCCTAAAACCTACTTCCTTAATTGTTATCACTTGTTTGGATCTATGCCATCCCTATTCTAACTGTTTCTTTTCCATAATCTATTAGGAATTCATTCGAGTAAAACTAGAATTTCTCTTGTTTTTTAAGATTTCTTTGTAGAATTTCTTTTAACTGGTCTTGATAGATTTCTTCTTGAATATGTTCTTCAATAATTTTGTTTCCTATCTTTCAATTCTTACCTGTGATATTTGGTTTTCATTTTTTTTGAGATATTATAGTACATTGGATTTTGTTTATTATTTTACTTTCCAGTATTTTCTTTTTAATCAGAATCTTTAGTTCTTTGACAGTTTTTATTGATTTTTATTTGTTCAAGAAAGTGATCTCATAAAGTTTTTCTCTATTTTTATTTATAATACAAGCACCATTACTGAGTATGCCATTTGTATATCCTCTGCACTGGAATAAAGTTGTTTTCTGGTTTTCTGCTTGTTCTTCATATTTAAAGTGCATCAGTTTCTTTTCTGATCTTGAAACTTTTTCCCAAGATTAATTTCACTAGACTTTTATTCAGAATATATTAGGTTTTTGTTTCTTGTCCCTACTTAAGTTGAGTTTTGGATAGTCATGTTCCCATGAGATATTGTTATTATACAATTTTTCCATAATTTCTTCTATTGTTTTTAGTGATAATAAGTGTGTCAATCTACTGTGCCAATCTGGAATTAGTTGTTTACTTGTTCCTTGAAGTAGTTGAATCAACCTTTACTCTTTTATTTTCATGGTTTCTTTCTCTACAATCTGATCTAGGAATATTAGTCTGTTGTGCACAGAGGTGGAATAGTTTTTCTATATTCTTCTTTTGATAGATATTCCTAAATTGAGTTATTTCTTTTTTTCTATTTGAAAGTTTTAATCTTAGAATTTTATTCAATTTCAAATAATGAATAACTATGTTTAAAAATATTGGATAACTAATAAATTAGCAATTGCATATTTGTTAACTTTAAATATTGTTTTTTAAAAATTTGAACTTGTATTTTATAATCTAATTTATAGATTACTAATAATTGATTGTTAATTTATAGGTCTTCTTTATAAAAAATATATTTATTTATTTAATTGAATTTAATTTATATAATAAAATAAAAAGGTAAATATAAAATTATCATTATTGATTAATAATGATTCTTAAGATTTAATTATTTTATTTAATTAAAAAGATTTTTACATATTCAATAAAAATTTATAAAATTAATACACAAGTAATTTAAAATATATAAAACAAGATAAATTAACAATATATTGTTTATTTAAAACTTATTTAATATACACATAACTTTCACAGTATATGGTTTTCTATAAATATATTGTATATAGATTGATGTACGCTTAATATGTAGATTTTCAGATTTCGTTTTGTAGGTTATGTTTACTTAATACGAAAAGAGATATGATTAGTAAAATAAAAAAATATAATATGTAAAAGCTTTTTATATAAAAAAAAATTTTCGAATTTTTTAAAAATGCTTATTTTCTTTTATCGAGTAAACCGCGACCCATAAATTTTTTTGATGATCGTAACTATTCTTAATTAAGGCTTCGATCATAAACTAATATAGACGGTTAGTACGCAGTTTCTTTTATCAATACGTGCATACCGTACTTCGTTAGATAATCTATGGACTAAGAACCAATAGAAATAGTCAAAATGCAGTATGTAATCCATAAGTTTTTGCGCAAGGTGATTTGAGCATGGGTATCGATTTTATAGTTCTCACAATCGCAATAAGCCCTTTTCAAATTGTTAATTTTCACAAGCATATGTTTTTCGTTTCGCAAATTATCTTATCACGTGAAGAATAAATCTATTTTTAGTATAATGAAATTTTACAGGTTGTATTGTAATACGATAAAATTCTAAAATGTGTAAAAACGAATAATAATTGCAAAGCACGGTACGTACATTCGGTTACACGGGCACATATCCTTGTAATTGTTATTCTCGATCAATTTTAAGGCTATAGCAATGTCTTTGTATGAAAAAATAATTTTTAAAAGATCGATTGTCTCAGAGCACGTTAGTCAAAACATTTTGTTTGACATTAAGGCAAGAAAAACTTTTGATTAGAAATTTGCGGTTTTCAGCTTTCCACTAACAATTTTTTATTTAATGCTATATTTGTTGTACGATTAAAGTTCGAAGTTGGGCGAAAAATATATCACCGTTGATCATTCCAGACACAAACTTTTGTCCACCAAGTTACCTACAGTATATACTACGTTACAAGAAATCTAGGTATTATCATAATTCGCTTTTGCTTTGTTCTTGCAGCGCCTAAATTAAATAAGCCATTGAACATTCGTTCATGTTAGGAGCGAAATCTCTACGAATCGTTTACACGCAGCCCCCTTTATATATGCACATACAATACAGTGTCATTTTTGCTTATTTTTAAAAAAGAAAGATGGGAAATAATACTAGAATTTGTTACGAACGTGCATACTCAATATACAATAAAGCGGAAATTCTTAGAGATCCTTTTATTTATAAAACGGCCGAAGAGATATTTGAATTTATGAAAGGAAAAATAGATAAATATAACGTTCTTACCAAGGAGGAGGAAGATCATTTATTTTGCGTAATACAAAGAAATATAGAAGATGCAAATGTCAGAAATCAACATGGAAACAAAAGACAATGTCAACATTGTGAAAAATGGACTTATTCGGTTTATCACTGTGTATATTGTATTAGAAAATATTTAATACACAACTTTCAGTATTGGTCTTCTGGAAATGCGAAAATCGATGCTATAATTCAAGAATGCCAAAATTATGCAATTAGACCTAGCTTTCTTGTCGAATGGATACCATTTAAAAGTTTTAGCGATTTAAAGTACAAAAGAAGGGGAGGCTGCGCTTCCATATTCACAGCAGTATGGAAAGATGGTCCATTTGACAAATGGAATTTTGAGAAGCAAGAAATTGAAAGAAAAGGGTCAATAGAAGTCATTCTCAAAAAATTTGATAATTCAAAAAATCTGGAATCACGATGGATTCAAGAAGTATGTAATAATTATGTCAAATTTTAAATAAGTATATTTTCTAACTCAGTAAATAATTTTAGGCAAGGTCACACTTTAATTATACTACAAAAGTAGGAAGTATTGTCAAATGTTTCGGATTATCAAAAGATCCGGACGACAATTACATGCTAGTTTTAAGACACATGAAGTGTAATTTAAGGGAATATTTGGATAAAGATATAATGCTTTCTTGGCAAGAGAGAACCAAAATTCTTTATGATATAATTAATTCTTTAAAACAGATTCACAGGGAAAACGAAATCCACCGAGATCTACATTCCGGAAATATATTATATAATTCTTACAACTTAAACTGGTATATTAGCGATCTAGGGTTTTGTGGACCAGTCAATCTAAAATCTACTAGTATTTACGGAAATCTTCCGTACATTGCGCCAGAGATACTACGTGGAGACTCATATTCAAAGGAGTCTGATATTTATAGCTTCGGAGTATTAATGTGGGAGGTATCATCTGGAAAGCAACCATTTTATAATCGCGATTACGATACGTCTCTAGCTGTTGAAATTTTAGAAGGATTAAGGCCACCTATTGAAAAAAAGGTACCAGTATGGTATGTTGATGTAATGAAAAGGTGCTGGAGCGCAAACCAAGAAAATCGTTTAAAAGCCGAAGAGATCTTTATTACGATTAAGAAAAAATTACAATTAATGTATCAAACTGAGTCGACCTTTGCGATTGCACCAATTCTGAATGAAGATTTAAAAGATGTTCAACTACACGAGAATAAACATGGCAGCAAGGTGTATGAAATTTCAAATCTCTCTGAGAAAGAAAGCACCACTGGAGGTATATATACAGTATTATACAGTATTATTACATTACTTGAATTTTTCTTTTTCTTTCTTTCTTTCTTTATCAGTCAAAGTATTGTTGTGCTATACAATGCAGAAAATACAAATACATTATATTATATTTGTTAATAACCTTTAAATGTTCTCAATAGAATATAAGACCACTCAATTAGATCTTGAATTTCCAGAGGTTAATATGCTTGATTCTTTCCTTTTTTTTTCTTTTTTTTACTAATCCTAATCCTATTATTTTAACACAGAAGCGCGAGCATCACAGATCGATTTTTTCTAATTTTTCGCGGTTATTTAAGTGCGAATGCTTTCTGTCGAATTGCAAAATGGATTAAAGAAACCCCCCTAAGTGTACTTGTGTTTTTTTTTCTCTTTAAGTGTAAATCCGAATTAAATAAACTCTAAGAAAATTAACATATATGCACACACCTTTATTTTGGGTGATCTCTCTGTGTTATTATTTTTATTACATTTTTTGTACATGTTTTAATGTTTTTATATTGGCGTTTGTAGTTTGGATGCATCTCACATATGGATTATTCTTTTAGAGGAAATTGAAAGTTGAGTGAAATTTTATGTTTATAACTTTTAAGATACAAGATAAAGAGCTACACCGTCTCCCAAAAAGAACGCAACACCTGATCGTCGATCTTTAGGTGTTAAAATTTTGATCAGTCATGATGAAATTTATAGTATATATAGTGTATCTATTTGGTATATACATTAGAATAGTAATTAAAATAATAAAAAAAATTTTATAATACAATTAATAAAAATTTATTGTTGCGTGACTTTTGGCATTTTTTTGTAAAAATATAAAAATGTGAAAATTTATTCAAACCTTGCATAAACCAAATATTTTCAAGACAGTTATCTATGGAGAAATGGCAAATGTTATTACCTTATTAGAAGAAGATTATAGTTTATATCAAGTTGCTATCAAAATTAGTAATAATGTCATTATTTCAATATATATAGACTTTAAAAAAAATCTTGAAACAAACAAATTAAAAAATAAACCTATTCTTGATTATTCACCTAAATTTACTCTACATGAAGAATGTATTGTCATTCAAAAAATTCTAAAAGAAAAATATAAAACTAACATGGATATATGTAGATCCTTAATAAATATGAAAAAATAAATATTAGTGTCAACACAATTTAAAGAATTCTTAAGAAAAATAGATTTAAAGTATATATACAGTGCAAGAAATCTTTTTTAAGTAAAAAACATAAAAAAATCTGATTAGAATTTGCAAAATTACATAAAAATTGGATCATATAAGATTGGAGTATGGTGGTTTGGTCTGATGAAACTAAAATTTAATTTTTTGAAGCTGAAGGATGTAAATATTGCTGAAAAAAATCTATAGAACCTTTAAAGAATCAACATATAATTCCTACAACTAAATTTAGTAAAGATAGCATTAATATATGGGGATGTTTTACTCATTATGGTATAGGATATTTAACTAGAATTGAAGGAAATCTTAATGCAGAGCTTTATAGACAAATTTTAAAAGAAGAATTAATGTATTTATTAATATATTATCATTTAACTTCTAAAGATATTATATTTCAACATGATAATGATCCTAAACATAAGGCTAAAATAGTTCAAAGATGGTTAAAAAATAACAAAATT